CAGTAAGTAGAGTTAGCGTCTGAATCTTTTTTTTTTTTTGGGTGTATTGTGAGTTTAAAAAATTAAACTAGTGACTTGCTAACCCAGCAAGTTACCCGGGTTAATCCCAAGTTATCCCAAGTTAGGTTGAGTAATGCAGATTTGAAGCCTTTTTGGTTTAGGGGATAAACCAGAAAGGACAAGCAGTCAAGTAGCCAATTCATCGAGTTTCAATCCGGTCTGATTTTTAGTACATTGTTCATAACTAATGTTATTTTTCACTCATTTCAAAATGTAAGCTTCAAATCATTAAAGAGATGTTTAGTTTGGATTTGGTTGATCATTTACTCCATTTTTTATTTTATTTCTAATTAATTATGTCTTTTTGATATCTTTTTTTCCACCCATTCTCATCATTTACTTTCCCACTGACCCTATCCACAAATAAAGGTGCTTTACAACAAAAAAAAAGTTACATTTTTTAAATATTTAATGTTCTTAACCAATTTCGACCCACTTTTTGAGTTGTGTGATTTAGTTATTTGAAACTTATATTTTGAATCACAAAAAATACATTATGTGCAATAATTACTGTAATAAGTTCATAAAATATCATAATATATAATTAGAACTTGTAATGGTTTCCTTCAATCCTTAATAAAACATACTTTTTAAAAAAAATAATAAAAAATATACATAAATAATAATATTTTATTATTATTAAGATTTTTAAAAAAAGAAAGAAAAAAATAATTTTTTTTAAAAAACATATATGTAAGTAATAATATTTTTTATTATTAAATTAAAAAAGGAAATAGCTTTCTACTGAATTCAGGAGAAAGCTGGGCAAATTAACTTAAGAAAAGATTTTTGGGGGAGGGTAGTAAATAAGAGAAGAAAATGGAGGAAGGATAATTAATAAAGAATAAAAAAAAAAGGAAGGGACACTTGAATAAGGAATGAGGCAGTCGAATATAAGAAGACGAGGGTGATAGGAAAAGAAGAGAAAGAGAGAGTGAAAGGCTGAGAGGAAAAGAGAGCGAGAAGTTGAGTTCTAGAGCGTGGTTGCAGGTTCGAACAAGATTTGGGGATCATTTGGATATACAAATATACTTCTTTTTATCAAATTTTCTTTATAAATATTTTCTATATATTTAGAACTTTATATTATTAATTTCATTATAATGTTTAGAGAAAATTTTACTGTTTAGATATGGAGTAAATATAGAGTTTTGACAATATATGATGGTAGAAATTTAAAGATACATTATTAAAGAATTTTAATCAGTTTATATTTGTTCAATGATTGTTTTGAGAATTTTAAATTAAGATTTTAGTTGAAAAACTTGTTATTCATATACATATAGAATGTTTTTATTGATTAAATTTAAGTTAAATAATTTATTTGAGTTATTTAATGCATTATTGAGGTTTTAATTGGTTTGAATATTGAATAGATGAAAGATATATTGTTGAAATAATTTTTGAGAGCTTAAAGAATTGTAAATTGAGAATTTTATAAAATTAAATAAAATAGATTTGTTTATAATTCAAAGAAGTTGTTTGGTTTGAGGAAAATTTTTAAATGAGAATATAATAAATAATTGAGAATTTTAATATAAAATATAGATTTTGGGTAATAAAAATATATTTATTTAAGTTATTAAATTTAAATAGTCTTGTATGAGAATTTTATTTTCAAAATAATATTGTATCTATTATAAATAGCTAGATCTAGGAGTTTATTGTAATTTTAGTTTAGAGGGTAGCCTTAGAATTTTAGAATAATTTTGTTATGTGTTAATAAATATTTATGTGTAATTTTGTAGACTACTGAGAATTTTAGAGTACTTATTGTGTAAATATCTATAAGCTAAAGAGTAACAGGTAACTCTGAAAATTCTTTTATGTACATGTGAATTGTATATGATTATATTATGGAGTTACTAATTTATTCCTATTAGTTATGATTAATATTTAAATATATTGATAGTTATTGATTTATAATGAGTTGCTGTTAAATGGTGCAAAAATTTTATTGTTATCTTATTTTAATAATATATTTGAGGACATACTTTGATGTAACATTATTTACATGTGACATGCATTATTGGGTTAATGATAGAAGGAGATTTGCATGAATATAAACTACCACGTGGTATGTCATCACTTGGTGCACAATAGATGGCACTTGTCAAGACCCCTTCTTTCTTGTTTTTCTTTGGCCGAGAATTCATGAGAGTTGTGGGACATGTGACACCTCCTTATTTTATTTGCAAAGGAGGGCAGCCATAGTCCGAATTTGAGCTCTATATCTTTGGTTGGATATATCTCTAATATCAATGAGTTTGGAATAATTTAGTAAAATGGATTAATTCCTATTAGACTATGTGTTAACTTATGGCTCCAATTAGTGGTATAAGGGTGGATGGTGATATAAGGGATGATATATATTGCATTATTTTTGGATATATTGGAAGATGATATTGGTCTAATGTTGAATTAAAAAGGAATTTGAGTTGAATATATAAATCATTGATTTCCATACAAATATATATAATTGGATTTTTGTTTATCATATCTGGTTTGCTTATATATATTAGAATTTCAGTAATTACTAAGATATTTGATCCCATCCCTTATATTAACATTTTCAGGTGAAGGATCTAGTAAGAATCAAGGGAAGGCACCGACGGAGTAAGCCGTGAAGGCTTTTATGCTTCTTAAATACATGCTATGTTATATTTTTAATTGCCATGACTATAAGACTTTAATGGTTTATTTTGTTATGCTAGAAAAATATTTTGAAATTGATTTGTTTTGAATGCTAAAAATATGCATGGACTTTTAAATGAAATATTTTATCGCATATGTGGATATAATTACCTGAGGTGTTACACTTAATATAATACGGTAGGTAGATAAATAATTTGCAAACATTAAAAAATAATTAAATTATTTATTTCTTAAAAATATGTATTATTTAACCAACGAGGGTTAGGTTTAGTGGAAGGAGTTGGTCCCTCACAATGTGACGAATTAAAGTTCGATCCCCACTGGGAGAGGTGCCACATTTAGTACCAGACAATGCCTTGAATATGATTACCTCCAATAGGACTATACCTATGCTTTGGCAAAAAAAAATGTATTATTTCTTTTTAAGTACTTGCTTACTAATTTGTATTGAAACTATCTCTTGATCAAAATTTATTAACATACAACCAATATATGATACAGATCATTAGAAAAAAAATGTTAATGTCAAAAAATAAGGTGAACCAAATTTTATATTTAGATCAAAATAAATACTCTAAACAACACCTATACTACTCTGTTCCTAAATGTAAGTCATTTGTAAAAAAAAGTTTTGATCCCAAATACAAGTCACTTATAGTATATTTAATATTTATTTTTTAATTTTACTCTCCTTTTATTCTCAATGGAATGAAAGAAAGAATGAAAATAATATGAAAATAATTTGTAAATACAGAGATAAAAAACTTTGATAAGAATAAAATTAAATTTTTTTATCAATTTACTATATTTTTATACCAAGATATGTTATAAATGATTTATGTTGGCAAGAAAAGTGGTACCACCTTCGGTTTTTAATATAAGAGTTAGTTGACTAATTTGAGTAGATTAAAAAAATTAGTTAAATTAGTTATTTGTAATAATTAGGTGTTTGCTTTCTTGAAATATCTTTACCAATCAAGTGTTGGCTAAAACTATTATTATTATAAAGACTATCTTTAAAAAAATAGATAAATATAAAAGATAAAATAAATTAAAATTTTAAAACTAAAATAAAAATTAAATGAGTTTTCACATTAAATAACGGAGATAACATTTGATAAGAAAACCAAAAAGTCAACTCTCCATTTGATCATTTGCCTCGTTTCGGCCGTGCTATTACAACGGGCGTGGGCCCTTTCGTGCCAACAATTGGCTCCTACGCTACATTCAGATGTTTTTTCACTTTAGAGCCTTATCCGCCTGTCGCATTAGCGAGTAACCGTCCCTGTCAATATTTTTGGTTCATGCCTCCTGTCCTCCCCGGGTGCGGCAAGAAGCTCAGTATTATTATAAAAGTTTTCCGCTAGACCCCGATCCAGGCTCCTCTTGGAAGCAAAACAACTTGTGTTAGTTTTCTCGTGCTTTTGTTACTTACTTTGTAATCCTTTCTTTTCTTAGCTATATCATACATTATTCTTTGAGGTCTGAGTTGAACTAACCTTTATAACTTCTAAAGATTTACAATAAACTCCCCTTAAACTTTTTATTCATGCAAATAATTCTTTTGTTGTTAATTTATCTATTATTTCACTGGAATAATATTAGAGTGAGTTTGTTTGCACATAATTTAAAACTTTAAAAGATTATTTATGTATAACTCGAACTTTGAGAATTATTATCTATAAAAAATGAAAATTTAAGAGGTAGTTGGTCAGTAACATATCATACTTTGTTATTAAAATAACATAATAACTAATGACATAATACAAATTATCTGTATAGATTTAAAAGCTTAATTAGAAGATTTTTTAAGTCAAAATTTCTAAAATAAAAGTTTAATTGCACGAGTCAAAATTGATATGAATTTTGTATAATTTATGTCTTTTATTTCTTTTATTATCAAAGCAATTTCAAAGCATAATAGAGAATGAGAGTATTAGATATATAGTTTTATTATAATGCATAATTTTTCAGTAATTTTCTCAATCTCAATTTTTTATTCAAAAAATTAGAACTCTCCTCTTAAAAGGAATTGTCTCCCATTTTTTAATTTCGCCATTAATGGCATTTAGTATTTTTTTTTTCTTTTGACTAAAATGTCATGTAAGTGCTTGCATGCCTAATCTCACTGCCGGACTTGGCAAGCATAACTCTGAAAAACGAATTTAAGGCCGGCAATTGCGCAAGCGCAACTAAGTATTTAAAAAAACTAGTATATATATTTAATTTAAAATTAGTAATAGTTTCAGATTCAGTGCCCCGAATATTTTAACTGCGCCATTCTCAATTCCGTATTTACGATATTCGCTTACTCTGTCTCCTCTGGTTCTTCTTCTTCCATTGTCAGTTTCTTCAGCCGTAGCCATAGCTTCCTTCTTGGTTCCTAGTCTTTGCTCTATCTGCTCGGATTTATTCCTGATTCTTCTCACTGAGAGTACATCAGTTACTGCAAGTACAACCATGGTTCTTTTCCCTCTCTAGTGTTGAACTCTTGTTAGCGAGAGAAACTCTGTCTGCCTTAGCCTCCGCACCGCTCACGTAGGAAATGGAGACTCTCTCCTTTGTTTCCAAAGCGAGGACTGCGCTTCATTCTGCGGCTGCGAAAGCGGAACGTGTCCTATCGGACTTGAAATCTGATCGAGGTTTTCTTCTGCTGACACATATCCTTGTTCATTTTCGGCATTTTCCATTCAAAGTCTGTCGCAATCATTTCTTATATTTTGTTGCCACCCTTCATTCCAATTTTTTTCCTTTTCCAAATTTTTTTTTGGCTAATTTTTTTTTGGTTAATTTTGGGAAAATCTAATTATTATCTATTAGCATTAACACAATTGTTGATCCGTTAAGATCCTGATAAACAACCGCCCAACAATTTGACAAGGGAAGAAAAAGACGAATCTCCTCGGAATGAGGGCGAGTCAAAGGTAATGATGATTCGAGTAATCTTTGTTCGCGTTTTGTGCTGTTTTGAATTTGGACGTAGAAGAAACATTGTACTATTACCTATAAACTCTGGTGCTTACTAACAAAAAGAAAGTTATTTGAACTCAGTATCCGACTTCTTGAATTCTCAGGCCGCTCATTTACATTTTCTTTGCGGGCTACGGCGGCAGGATGCTGCATTTTGATCACCAATTTTGTTTTTATTATGTTTGTATTGAATATCAAATGGGAATTGAAAAGTTTGATCGGCTTTTATCCCCGTTTCTTTTACTTTCTTTCTCCTTCCCCTCCAAAAGTCTTTGATGGTCTTCATACGATTAACTTGAAATTCACACAAAGCATGGAGAATCTTTCCCACCTTTTCCACCTAAAGTTATTGTTAAAATATTCGGTAGCAGACTACTAATTTGCCAGGGTGCTAGTTTCCAATCAGTGATTGTTCCACATTGAAATTTCTGTTAGCTTCATGATGATTGAGACGCGTTTATTTGTTTTTGTTGTTATGTCGACATACTTATTAGGCAACATTGACATTAGACGGAGCACTAAATTCTTACACTTCTTGAAATCTGGTTTTGCAGCTGCGCAGCGATTTGAAAAAGTGGAGACCTCCTCACATAAGTATAAAGCAGGATTGGCAAGATAAAATAAAGAACATCCGGATAGGGAGAAAGGAGGCTGAAGATACAGATAAAGTTGGAGATACAACAATGACTTTTCCATTTTATGATGAAAATCTATACATCCTGAATATGAAAAATGATATTGAGAACAAGGTAACAGGAACTTAAACATTTTAAGTTAAGGCTTTATATTTCTACTGGTGATAGAGTCCGCATAAACTAATCTCAGTTAAGTGGCCGTGAATTTCTTTGAGAGAAAATATTGGTATATTCTCGTTCATGAATTGATTCAGTTATACGAATGAATTGCTTTAATGGTGTATGCTTACAAAAATAATTTAGGCTTCTGAAGCAACACCAACCATTGAATGCTTGATTGCTGCAACAAAAGACCCCATTCCTCCATCATCTGTGTTGAGGCAGTTGGCAGTAGCTGTGGAGTAAGTTACACTTGCTCAGCTTTAACCTTTGCTGGCTCATTATGCTACCTCTTCTTATTGTTCTAAGTTATTCAATTTTGTGATTTATTTCTACGAGAAAGATTACCAGAGGGGACTTTTAAGCTTCTTGTTTCCATTGTTGAGAAAGATTTTCATCTTCTGGTACAAGTAGACCATTCTCTGAAAGTTGTGAAACTTTTTTCATCTAGGGATGGGAGGAGATCAAGGTCAGTTAAAGATTTTACAGTTTCATCTGCAAATTCTTCTCCCGCCGGAGACAAGGGGGGCTTAAGTCTCCAAGTAGTGAAGGCTTTAGTGCTGGGTGAAAAGGAGGACAAACTTCCCGCTGACTTTAGTAAAGATGAAAAAATTGGTTTTCTGATTAATTCTCTGTTTGATCGAGGTACATGGATGTTGGGTGGCTTGCTGATAATATAATTGCATTAACAAACATTTTTGTCAACGTATAAATTTCTTAATGCTTTACGTGGTGATCTTTCACTTCCGTGGTAATATTTGCAAGATATTCGCAGAGGGAGAATTCCTCAAAAGGAAGATCAGCTCTAGTTCAGAGGAAAATTCCATAGCATCTTTGGCAAGAGATATTCATGGTGCCCCTCCTGAAAGCATTGTTGTTAAGCTAGCTGAAATCATTGGAAACTTCAGAAGCCTTCGAAAAATGGCTTTGTTTTGGTGCACGGTTGTTGTTGAAGTATGTTAAAATCAATATAAATTTGTTGTTTCTTATATTTTATGAAAAATTAGTTTAAATTTGCTTTCTTGATCCGTATGATTTATCATAAGTCGTGTTCTGCTAAAGTAAGTGCTATTGCTCTCTCACTTTTGAGGTGTTATAAATGCTTTTTCCCCTTGTTAACATTTGTTTTTCGGACAATGTTATTTTATGTTTTTCACTAGGTCTAATAAAGTTCCTTTCCTGTTTTTTCCCCCTCTCTCCTCTCTTTGATGGCAAAGAAATACTGAGTAAACTAAACAAGCACACATTTTGTTTACTATTATGTAGATTGAAAACCCAAACTCCTTTTGAATAATTCTCAATGCCTCGTGATCATGAAAAGTTGGTGAGCATGATATTTTATTTTACATCATTCTGTTCATGAATGGAAAGTTTTCCTATATGAACTTCTGGTTTGAAGCTGTAACTTGAGCTGATTAATGATGCAGTAATGGTACTCCTGTTTTTCCCCCCCTTAATTTGCTACTGTAAATAATTAGTTGTCCCCCTTTTATGCAGCTGAAAAAACTTTGGTCTGAGGAACAACATATACCTGGAGTGCCCCTGGATGAGATTCCAGACCTTAAGTCGTGTCTTCTATATCAACAATTTCAAGTAATTAATTGTTGTATCTCTCGGAAAAGGCGCCGTTTTACTGCCACTGAATCTCTAGACTCTTTGATGGAAGGCAGTTCAGTTACTAAAGAATCAATGCGTGATCACATTCCTAAAGCCCCTGTTTTATATGCTAGATTAAATACAGGGGAGCTTGTTCTTCGACTGGGTGCTGATCGCCCATCAGGGGATCTGACATTGCTAGAAACTGGCGAGCCTGTGTACTCTCCAGTTATGCAGGTTGGTTTTATTACTGCACTAAACAAGTTCCCTTTTCATGTTGCCCCTATGATGAGATCCTTGTAACAATAACATGTAGGAAGGGCCTTTGCTTACAGAAGATCTAATCAAAGAAACAGAGGAGTTTGTGCTGCGGACTGGGAGGTTTGTTGACTGAGATCCTTCTGATCCTGTTATATGTTAAGATATCAAGCCTATCGACAAACAGAAACCTAAATTGACTTGCATACATCTCAAAGTGATAATCTTAATGGTGTAGCTGCCATTCCTTGCTGCATCAAAGTGATGAAGCCTTGGTGCCTGCCATGTCAATCCCCTTTTTGCTTAACTTACTGTTGGTTCAATGGACTAGTTGATCTACTGATAGTATAAAATTTTATGTTTTGATATACTGATAATCATGGATCTGTCTTACGGTATGTGCAACTTTTAAGACTGGCTCAGACATCTATGATTTATTAATAAATGATAGCTTATATTTCATTTCGTTCAAGATGTAGTAACTTAAAAATTGTGTCACTTGGGTATTGTTTGATAAGTTTTATTATCTTCTATGATCAGTGTTGGTGCTGGGTGCTCTCAACTTCTGTCAGATATGCAGGCTTTCAAGGTTGAGCTTTCCCTTGAAGAGAACTTTACTAGAAATCTGAATACATGTAACAATTTGAATATATCTATTGTTTTCTCTGCTTACTTTTTATTTACTATCTTGATTTAGGCTGCCAACCCTGGTTGTATTTTGGAAGATTTTGTGAGATGGCACTCTCCTCCTGACTGGTCAGAATGTGAACAAGATGCTGAGGCTAAAGATTCTTCTGATGGTGGTGATTCTGCTGAGTCATTGTCCACCAGAGGTCAGCTAAGTCAGAGAATGCAAAAAGAAGGTGTAGCACCACATTTTTTTAAAAATAATTTATTCTTATGTTCTGCAGCTGCATAATTTTATGGTTGAAAAATCATCATCATGTAAGATTGTGAAATTTTTTTGCTTGGATCCCAACTATTACTTCTTTTTGCCTTGTCTGCAGTGAGGAAAAGATGTGAGAAATGCTTATATGATTTACCTATCATGTTGTTCAGTTTGTAGTTTGCTCAGCTGTCAAGAAAGGCCTGCTGAGATTACCATACTATACATCATTTATTTGAGAAATGTTTGGCAATTTTTCGATTTAAACCCCTCAGCTTATTTGACCTTATCTTAGTTCTTAATTGGAGAGAACATGGAAAGAATCTTATTTTCTATTGTCATAGGAATGGGATAAGTAGTTTATTGATTTATTTTCTTGTGAGATTCAACTGGGCAGTGCTGTGTAACTGACATGAGCCTAGGCCATTGCCAAACAATTTCCCATAAACACTGCCTACCTCCTTGGAGAACGGGTTGTGTCTCCACTCTTTACATAACCTCTTTCCAGTTTTTTTGGGTTACTCTAAAGATAGGATATCTAGTTAATCTCTTCACTGGTTCAATTGTTTCTCCAACTGTTTCTACACTTTAGTGAAGGTTCTATACTAATATATAGGTGCAATTCAAAAGCTTTTGAATATTGTTTGTCCCGTCTTATGGAGTTTTACATGTCACAATTTGTATTCTTTTTTCCCCCTGCTTCATGGGGATTTGACGTTTTATTTTTCTTTATCCCTTTTATGGTCTTATGGGATCATTTGAAATAATGTCCCAAGGACAAAGATTAAGTTTCATTATCTGGTTTGAACTTGATGATTTAAATCATTCGCATGCATTTTTGAGTGGACTACAACAATGTAGTGAAAATGAAAGCTGTTGATAAATTGCTCCATAAACCTTTGAGTTGGTGTACACGCTTGAGAATATTGCATCTAGATGATTTTGAGAATTCAGGGTTCAGAGGATCAAAGTTATTGCCTCCATTTATGGGATTTGCTATCATATTTTATGACGTTTCCTTCTTGTTACATAATTAAGTAGCATTTAGTCTGACGGGCAAAACATATTCAGTTAGGATTGCCTGACTTGCATTTTGGCATGTTTGTTTTGTTCAATACTTGGGCACTATGGGCACAACTGCTGTATGCTCTTGTGATACCAGGGAACTTTGCTGAACTTCATTGCATGTTCATGGCAGGTAATTTATGGCGTGAACTGTGGGCAACATCTAAACCTGTACCAGCTGTTAAACAGACACCTCTTTTTGATGAGGATTTGGCAGTGTAAGTGTAAGTATTAATTTGGTTTTTATTGTTGGAGCTATCTAACCTGAATGCTTTTTACATTCATTTGCAGGGAGGGCATCCTACGTGCTTTTGAGGACATCCAGCCTTCTGAACTTTTTAGACAATTGTTTGTTTCTCTGGTGAGTTCTTTATTTTTGTTCACCATGTTGGGGATAGAAAAATAGTTGTCAGCCATTATCAACAAAATGATCTTTTAAAGAAGTTATAGTATTAAAACTCGTACTTGGGTAAATTATTTTTGTATTCAATTCACCTATTTTTGCTAGTATCTGATGGTTGGAAGATGTAGTAGGCTTGGCATTATGGACCCAGTTAAGAGCTAAACATGTTCCTTTAATGTGGGATCTGAGACAGCATAGCTGAGTGGTTAGGCGTGCTTGTGAGCTGAGAAAAGACTGTCATGCCCTCAAACATGTCTCCACCGACTTTCCTGTTTGCCTGTAGATTTTCTATACCTGCCAAGCGCAGGTTTACCTTTTAACAGCTCAAAAGTAGATACAAAATCAAAAGAATATTTCATGTTATTTAGTTTATGCCTGTATGTTGAACTTCTTGACGTGACTCTTGAGACAAACTCCATATGCTAGTTGCAAGTTGCAAAATAAATTACACACTCTAGTTATGTCTTCCAATGAGGGAATCAAAATAATTAAGGAAACATTGCATTTGCACCTCTCTAAGAACTTCCTAGTATCACTGTGGATCCTAATTTTTTGGATTAAGGAAAGGGGTACCTTTATTTCACATCATAACAGTTGCCTGATGAAAAAAATGACCCAAAACATCAAAGCAAGGCCATAGTTTCCTATATATTGTAAAGTGAGGGACGTTCATGCACAACTTGAGAGGAATACCAGAATATTTATGATCATGCAACCATACATACCTTTGTGATAGTAGTTCCGCCAGTTATTTCATCCTCTAGGTTGACTAGACTGCATTAATATGGGGAGGCAAAATTAAAAATTTCTGTTGCCAAACCGTAGAATCAGTTTTGTGCCATGCTAACCATATTCTCTGCTTGGTTTATCCAGCTTGGTTTAGGAGTTGCAATTGCTGAGCCTTTGCTGTCTGGTAGCAGTGATTTCTCAAAGCTTTTCTGCGACTGCAAGGAGTACGTAGTTGTCACCTGTCAAAGTGGCAGTTGGATGGAGAGAATTGATGAACTTTGCCAGGTTAGTACTTGTGGGATAACGGCCTATTTTATGACGTTATGTTGTTACTCTAAGATTCTGGTAAGCCATTACTAGTTGACGCCTTGGGGAAATAACCCATATGTTTCTGGTATGGTGACTTCTGGAAATTTTATCTTTAACCCATTTGAAGACTAATTATATAAATACGGTTCGGCATATAAAAGTAGTAATTTTGTTGGTCTGGTCAAATTGTTCAAGGGGTTTCTTAGTAAAATACCTCCACCTGTGAGCATTTGGGATTAAAAATTGATCTCTGAAGACGTGCTGCTATAGGTATTGTTATGATGGTCATTTTCCCGGTATAGGTGTATCAAACGGTGGAAACAATGTTAACAAATCCTGAGGAAGCACTAATGATGATCAAGGAGGCAGACGAGTCAGCTAAAACTAGTGGCGAACTCAAGCGCCGGTTTAAGAGGCTAAGCTTTATCTTTAGTGGCAAAGATAAACCTTGGAGAAAACCTGCATCTGAAGACTCGGTAGGCTCTGAAGACAACCCGATTCGGCAATCCTTTTCAAGTTTCTTTGACGGCAAGTCATCTGTATTTTTGAAGAAATCTTTCAAATTTAATGACATTTCGCCAAGAGGGAAATCTCCCAGTCCAGATAATAATCAGACAGTCGTTTCGGCAAAGCTCTCTTGAGCTTTCTTCATTTCATTGAGGATAAGCAAGAACAACATGCTTTTCCTCTCAATTTTCTTTATTACCTCTTCCCGCGGGTAACTGTAAATTTCTTTATTCTTTTTGTCCAAAATCTTGATTGCTGAGTTTCATAGTGTATTAATACTCATTTAGTCACAAAATGAAATCAAAATTTAGCCTTTGCTCCTTCATCAGTTTGAATTAGCGGTTTCGATTTCGATTCATGAAGACTATCATGGGATAGTCTGTAGTTTATGCAGCATAATGCTACCCCTCGTTTTTCAGATGTTTAAAACGAAGGCAATCTTTTTGTTTTTCTTTTGGGAGACCAATCTCAATCATCTTAGAAACTTTGTTACGTAGAGTTAGCGGACGTCACCTTGTTACTTACGAATGGGAAAAAAGAATAATAAGCTAATTTTCATACAGAAACAAACCTAATGACTTCCACAATAACACCAATCTCGCATTATACATAAATCACAAGTTGAAAAATAAAGAGGAAAGAAAAAGAATTGTATTTGAAGTGAAAGCCGGCGGTGAATTGCAGTCCTGGTTATAACATTCTATCTATCCCCATCGTTAACATTCTGTTCTTCGTTTACTTTGTCAAATCCGAAATACTTGGAGATGAGCTCTGGCACTATGAAATTTGCTGTGAAGTATAGAAAGAGAAGCAGAGCACTGCAATGAAAAATAACAAATCAACAATTAATTCAATCACCATTTTAAGAGCATCTCGGTTTTTTTTTTTTTTTGAAAAAAAAAAAATCAGCATAATAAAAAAGCACGAGGATGAGTGATTAGATGAGGCGAAGAAAGCAGACCTGGTTTGGAGGAAGACTGACACGTCGAGGGATTTAGGAGGAGAAGAGGAGGCTGCAATAACAACAAAGGAATGAGGTAGGGCCTTCCTAATTAGTGGGCTTGTTGAAGCAGAGTGAAGGCTCTGTGGAGCAGTTCTGGTCATGACGAGGCGAGGCAGATTGTGGTGATAGTGGTTGTGGGAATTGTGGGGAAGCAGTGCAGAAGAGTAGGGTGATTTAATAATGGAGTTCATTGTAATAGGAATCGAAAGCTCCTTAACTGAAGGAAGCGGTGAGCGTGGAAAGCTGTTATTGAACTGCTACTTCATTGGGTTCTGCCAGTCGTCTCTGCTGTGGATAACGTTATTTTTTTTTTGGTAAGGCAGTGGATATTTTTCTTATGGAAATCGGCACGCCCTTCCTCAAATAGATTCTCCATTTGTATCGGCGGCCCAAAAAAAAAGGAAAAATTCCAAAAAAAACATGATAATTGAATTTTTAAGACTAAAAAGTCACCAGAATTTTAAAATTCTAAATCAGTCATAACTAAACTGAAAAAGCCTGAATATAAAAAATTTCAATTCAGCAGGTAACACTTAAAAATAACAGGACAGGAAATAAGATTTACACTGATATTTTAAAATATTGTGAAATTACTCATATATCCCTCCGTGACATAAATGACATTAATAAAATTGAAAATGATAACTATTAAACTGACAATGATAAGCATTCAATTAGAAATCATAAGTTTCATAATTTTTTTTGGTTCTCTATCCTTTTAGTTAGTTAATAAGTTGTGAACTGTTGACAAGTATTGAACTCAAAATTACAAGTTCATAATTTTTTGTTTTTTATTATTTTAGTTAGTCAATTAATAAGATCTGAACTAAAAATGACAAGTATAGAATTGATAATAACAAGTAATAAACTAAAAATAACAAGTTTCATTTTTTTTGTAGAGGAGGGCATATGGGTAATTTCATAACACTTCTAAAAGGCCAATTTAGGCCTCACCTTCATCTATATCATTTTCAAGTGTTAAATGCTTGAATTGGAATTACATATATTCAGACTTTTTTTTAAAAGGATTTTCTCATTTTAAAATGTTAGTGAATTTGCAATGCCGTCTTTAAATTTATTTTTCTTTTGAAAAAACCTCAAGGCACTATTATCAACTAGTTGGCTGCTAAAGTTCCAACAAACCAATGCTGGAGCAACAATGGGATGCAAATGCCAGAGCTCTGGCAAGCGGCAAATCTTTTTTTTTTTTTTTTAATTTTTTCAATATTTATAATGTGATTAACAACTGTTATAATAATATTTATGATTTCATTAATGTTATTTACTACTTGTTTTTCAGGTTTTTAGATTGAATTTTTTTTTTTAGTATTTATAACATGATTGACAACTCTGTCAACGAGATTGTGCATTTTTTCCTTTGTTTTCCCAGTTATAGGCATTAGGGGATGTTTGGATGCAAATCAAACTATGATTTTGAAAGTGTTTTTAGGGTATACTAGGTAAATATGTGGAGGAGTTTGTCTCGTTTTGCGGAAAAAGTACTTCCTAGAAGTACTTTTAGGTGCTTCCAAACACCCTCTTAGTCCCTATGCACATAATTTATTAACTTGGCTTAATATGAATACTGATTAAATAACATGTAAATTCACACAAAATACAAAATGCTTTTTAAATGATAGAATAAAATTTATTTATTATTAACATGAAAATAAATTATTATTAGTATTATTATGTCTCTTTGCATCTATATGATTTATAATCTGATTGATTTTGATTTTATTTAAATTCACTTTATAAAATTAAGTGTATATTAAGTGAGAGCCGCATCATCAATTACTAACATTACCTTTTTTTCACCAACCAACAAATAATGAATATAAGAACCAATACTTATAATTGAGGACATTATATGCACCTAATGAAAAGGAAAATACAAATATTTAATTAAAATTGAAATGAAATAATATGGACTTACATATTAATTTCTTTTTAATTGCAAAATATATAGCAGTAGTAGCCGAGCTAGTGATAATGATGATGCTGTATCGTTAGATGTATTTGGTAATTGTGTATATGGAAAAGTTTTCTAATTAAGGACTTGAATCAATTAGATCCGTGAATGTTAAAAAACTGAAAAGGAAAAAAAAAAAAAAAAAAGCCAAGGCTCTTTAATAGGCTTCAGTCATTGATGCTACAAATAGGATTCTTGGTCCCTCCACATAAATTCACGCGACCTCCATCACGTCAAAAATAAGAGGGTGCTTAGCTGAAGGTTTTTTTAGGTATTATTCCTCCTGTCTTTAATATAAACCCATTTAACTAATTTGATTAGATTAAAAAAGTTAGGTAAATTTTAGTTAATTATAAAAAAAGTGAAATATTTTTTCTAAAACACCATAATCATCTTTTTTAATACCCTCTCTCCCTCTTCTATCTGATTATGGTTGAGGGAGTATCCATAGGGGTAATTTAGAGAAGACTGATAAATATGAGAAATTGGTCTTATATTTAGAACCAAAACCAACTCAAAAATTGGATCCTACTATTAAGGATCGGAGGAGTATATCTTAAACTATTTTGTATATATCTAACACAGTTAAGTTTTCTTTTTTTAAATGTGTCCAATACTCTAAATTATATTTTAGTGCATCCACCATTCTAAAATATTTTTTAGATATTTACAATACTTTAAATTACTCTTCCGGTCCTTAATATAAAACTTATTTAATTAATTTGATTAAATTGATAAAATTAGGTAAGTTAGTTAATTATAAGAAATATGACATGTCTTTTTCTAAAGGATCATAATTACCTTTCTTAATATCCTTCTTCTCTGTTCCGCTTGATTATAGTTGAGAGAGTATTTATAAAGATAATTTAGAAAAAATTGATAATTATGAGAAATAAATATTATATTTAGGATCAAAATTAACTCAATAATTAGGTCCTATATTAAAAACCGGAGGAGTATTTTTTAGTACATCCAACACCTTAAACTAAGCAGTGTAAAATTTCACAAAAATACTTGAGATTGCTAATGCAACTTCAACCAAAATAATATTGCAATCTTATAATTGTATGAGAAGTGAGAAGGTTAAGTACATGCCATCTATTGTTTCTTGTTTCTACATTTTTCCTGCTTAATTACATTATAGTGTAATGTTTGGCCACTCATCATCAAGCATAATAAGTTTTATTGCCCCTATTCCTTTCCATAAGATATTTTAAGAAAATTTTGATATTCGTATTTTTATGATATTTTGCAAAAATTTATGCATTAATCAATTCGTTTTTCCAAAAAAAATCGCCTAAAAAGGGTTCTTCTAATTAATTAATTATACATACATACATACAGAGACGTAAAAGTATTTAATGAAGGATATGCGTGAAAAAATTGAGGTAATTTTAAAGACATTAACTAAATTTTTTTGTGTAACATATATATTTGTCTCATAAAAAAGAATGAAGAAAGAGTATTTTCTTATGTCTTTACTATAAGACAATTTTAAGAAGAGATTGATTATACATCCTTAATATATAGTCACTTGATGGGGTATGAATTAAAATTCTCCAATATCACCACTATTGGTTTTTTTTTTTGGGGCAAAAAAGTCACTCCTACTTAAGGCATTAGCTATGAGAGACAGAATATTGAAAATTTTCCATTTAAATGTGGGTACAATCGATAATTTATTTTATTTTAAGGCAAAGTTAATCACTTAACTATGTAACATCCTAAATTTATTTATCGCTAAGACTAAAGTAAATTTATAAGTAAATATTTATTAGCATCAATTTAATAGAAGTTATATATATAAGTGATTAAAATAATTTTGATCATATATATGTGTGTGCAACTATATATATATATATATATATATATGAATCAATGAATAAAATAAAAAATGTAAGAAGTCCCACATCGACTAAATAATGAGAGGAATGGGCTTTGCAAGCCTATATATAAGTGTGGTAAGGGGAGTTAAAAACAAGTTAATACCTTTTGCATGTGACTGAGACATTCTTAATAAAGTGTCATGTACGAATTCGTAAACCGTTAGATTGGGCTAAACTTTGGTTTATCAGTTTGAGACATCTAGCTCATTAATTTCAATGGTTGGATCATTGATTAGATTTCTAAGATAAGATTTATTACGTATATATTGAACTCCTTTTTCCAAATTTTATAGCTAGAATCCTAAGTAGTAAGTTATTGTTTTTAAATTTGTTCACTGTTAGATCGAGCTAAAATTTAGAGAATAGACTCAAGACATCCAATACATTAATTTCAATAGTTAGATTACTAATTAAACCTTTGGAGTGAGAATAATTTAATTCATATTAAATCTGTTTCTCTTATTTCTTCGAAAATAGAATAGATACTATAAATTGAGGGTTTTCTATCTAGATTATGAATCAATTGTAATTGATGATTCTAGTGATATAATCTATTAATTGAAAGATAATATAAGCTAAAGAAACTTGAGAATAAAATATAAATCATAGTATCCCTATTCTTACTCTAAACCTTAGAAAAATTGTACCATCTAGAGTTTTAAGTAATAATTCAGAAACCTTAGAGAGGGAGTTATGGGTTAAAATTTAATAGATAGCTTACCCATAAGATATCGTAACAATGTATATTTTCTATTTGTAGATCTGAAATTTGGTTTGATGACCACACGTTCAAGTCTTAATTTTTGACTCGTAAACATTTATTGGACACTAGGTAACATGATTTCTTACTTGTTCTTCCTACTGGTTCCTCTATGAGGAGTTTTTAATTAAATTGAACCTATTAGGATATATCTTGAATAATATGGAATAGGAAAACTGTATTAAAATTATGAAAAAACTTTCTAGAAATTTTGAACATGCCTGATGAAATTGGCTTGTGAAAAAAGAATAAATTACTAGAACTTTAGAACTAGATAGAAGCCTAATTAATGATTTTGGGATGAAATTAAAAAAACTGTGGTGTACTGTGTAATCCGTCATAGTGAAGTATCCAAGCTATTGTTTTATTTGATTGCATTTTGTATATCAATATGAGTTTCTGGAATGATATGTTTCTGCCTTGATTACCTGAGAATACTATTGTATGCTATGATACAAATTATCTGATGTGGTTAAGGTCTGTTTTTTAATCTCATGTGATACCTATTCTTGTAATACTTGATGAGGATTGAGAAATATCATGACCATAATTAAGTGGTTTAACACTAACGAGAGGTATTGTGAGGGAGACTGATATACATATATCACTATGTGATTTGCCTCTATAACGCACACTATGGTTGGCCTCTTAAAGAGAGTAGTATCCCCTCATTTGTGATACTTCAGGAGTATTTCG